ATTTTAGAAAAATGAGTTTCACTGCTTCATTTTAATGCGCCTGAGGTAAGGTCACATTTTTGTTTGAAGCCATGAGTAGGAAGCAGCGTGTACAATGCTCTCACAGCACTTCGAGGGCTGTCTGGCAATCCTTTTGCTCTTTATAAGCAATAATCACATGAAATTCAGTAAGCACTGTGATATTCAAAAGAAAAATAGAAAACCGGGCAATGAACGAGTCTCATTTTCTGATTCTCAGATTCTGATAGCTTGCAGTCGGGCTGAAATATTTAGGTTCCAGTTACTGCAGAGGAAGGTTAAAATCCTTTCCCTTCCAGAAATGAAACAATAATAATCCTTGGTTTTAATATATGGAAATAATTACCCCAATTTTATTTTCATCAAGCCTAATTTTAAGAAGTGTGATGCTGGAAGGGGACTTGAAAATTAGTCTGCACTGTGCAGTGCTGTGATAATACGCTTGTATCTATGTGAGGCCATGACTAGACTTGGGTGTGCCTGAAGCCAGGCTCATAAATCCATACTTAGACAGTTAAATAAGTGGCCTGATTTTCAAAAATGCTTATGACCAAGCTTCTCCAGCTGATTTCAATAAAACGTGTGTGTGTGTGTATAATGCCTGTGTGCGTGTGTGCATTCAGTTCACTTCAGAAATCAAACCACATATTTAGATGCTTAAATCTAGGCATCTAAGGTTTGAAAACGTTGCCAGTAATAACTCTCCTGGCTTCATGACTGAGGCAGTACACAGTGGATTCTAAATACAGGTGCTTCCACAGAAGAATGAGCTCTGTGAGCAGAGGGACCTGATGTAACTATTGTTTTTCCAGTTCTTTCCAAAACAGTTAGGGAACTGTGTTTTTGAAACATCAGTGCTGCCTTTCCTACACCTGAGCAAACAGCCCATAGGAAAGCTATCACAGAGATCTGCCTGGCTCCCTGGCTGATCCTCCTGATCAATGTTTAATAAAACCAATCATAACACATCACTTTACATGAATAACATGCAACAACAGAAATCGTTCCCTTAAACTGTTTCTCTGATAATCATGTTTAAAAGGAATAGCCCATCAAAAAGTGCACCTATTCATACAGTCATACCTTCTTCAGTTTCAAGTAGAAATACTAGGCTTCCATTTTCAGTAAGGTTACACGTTTTAATAAAAATTCACAGACTGCAAGCTACACTTCTGCGGAATGTCTGTCTTTCTGTTCTTTTGGAAAAGAATTCAGCTGTAACCCAAATCTCAAAGCCATCCTTGAGCTGGCTGGCAAAAGTTAAATGTACTCAACAACCATTAGTAGTAAGGTCCTTCTGAGTGTTTCAGAACAATTTACAACTGAAGTGAGGAACACGTCTGTTTGTTACAGATAAAAAAGAAAGTGGTGAACTCAGTAATCCTCACACATTACTTCTCTATGTGACCTGCTTATTTCTATGAGTCACTTGAGCTTTGGGATAATGGAAAACATTGCTCTTCAGGTTAAAAACCTGTTGTGTTTAAGAAGTTTCCTCGGCAGAACCTGCCAAACATCGATCAGCTCCCATTGATCATCACGGCCTTCACATTTCTAGGTAATTTCAGTTAAAAAAAAATAAATAGCAGGACTGTATAGAAGAATTGTAGTTAAGTTACGGTTAGAAAGCTTCTAGTTTTATTATTAAAAAAAGTCTTCCAAGAAAAATAACAAACATTTCTAATATTTCCATTGGAAAAATTATGTGAAATCCAAGCACAGGTATCCAACAACAGCTGGAATCAAACTTACCACAGAAGGCATTTAAACTAAGGCCGGTGTCTGCAAAGCTCGTATTTCTTTGATTTCCTCTAGGGAGAATGATGTTGGTGAGATGTAGGCCAACATTCACCTCACCTCCAGCTTACTCCTTGTTCCCCTTACAATCTCTTCTCTATGATACATTTTTCTGACTATATCCACTTACAAAACAGAGGGGGATGTGTCTGCTGGAGTGTGCACAGACAGCTGTCGTGGTAAGGTGAGGATGCTGCGTGAGGTCAGGGTCCAACTTTCTGCCAGTAGCGCTTTCACAAGTACTTCGTTCCTGAGAAGCACTGGGCATCCCATGCTCAGTATATGATCTTTAAGAGACATTCAGGATATTACCATAGGGGAGATATTACTGTCTCTACTCCTTTCACAAATGCGTAGGGGAACTGACATGTTGTGTTAAGAGACAACTTGCTGAAGGCCAGACATGGGTGGCAAATTGGATGTTGGATGTGCTAACTCCTGCCATATGTCCTTGTTCTCACACTGTATGAGGCCAGTCAAACTAGTCAAACGGGGCCACACAGCTTCTCCCAGTATAAGCAATACATCTTAAGTGAAAAGAAAAACAACATGCAAAGCAGCCAGGAAGGTAACGAGTAATATTTAGAAGGTAGTTATGAAAACAGTCTTTCTGAAATCAAAGCACTCGAATGAGTACAGAAAGAATAATCGTATTTGTGTTTTTAACATTTTCAGCTTCTGGCAGGGCATTTGTCTTCCTAAATTATAAGCAGCAAGAAGTCTGTAACTCCTTCCTATGGAGCCAAATGGCTGGGCAGCCTGGGAGGGTCCTTGTGGCAGGGAAAACGGTACCCTCTAGGAGCTGCAGTAGCTGAGGCTGGAGAGTGGGAAACAGGAATGAACGTCTCACACTGGCAGCATGAGATTTGTCACATGTGCATGTGGTGGGCCTGCCACATTCTGTTTCACTGTATTGCTACAGAATAAGTGCTGTACAAAGCACAGCAAGGCACAAAACCAAAGTCTTTTATTAATACCAGAGGATGCTTCAGCACTTCTTGCTGTCCTGAGGTGTTAAGACATGCTGACACAGACATTTTTACTTCTCACATCTTGGGCCATGTGTCTCAGGAGGTGCAACAAAGAAATATACAAGAATTCAAATTGTACTGTAAATGACGCACAGTGTGTGGACACACAAAAGAAATTTTCACAAAGCAAACTGATGAGAAATTTACATGTGCATTTTGCACATGGACTGAAGCCTGAGACAAGACTTCCGGGGAAGACTTTAATCCCTCAAGACTTACAGATGTGTCTCACTTTACAAATGAGTACTTTCCTGAGAGTCAACTGGATCAAATGATATCAATATGAATTTTTTGTAGGATTGGTCCTTGTTCAGTAAGTTCACTAAGTAAGTGGAGTGAGATTTTAATTGTTGGTCCAATCTAAGTAATCTGTTGGAGCACGTAAAAGAAAACCTTGAAGCTGTGTGTGTGTAATTACCCAAAATCACAATAAAGTAATTTGCTGAGAATCAAAACTCTAACTTCTAGATTATACACTTCCACTTCCTTCTGAGATTAAATTTGTAATGCATGTTACTCCTATGCTTGTATACTGAATGAAGTTTTTCCTTCAAGAAATGCCAGTTGTCTACTGAGACTGTTTAGATAGGAGACATACTTTTTTCTGCTACAACTAGACTCTGGTTTTGGACAGGTATGTTAGAAAGTTAATTAAATAGCACATTATGTACTTTAACATACTGTCCCAATTTTCATGGGTTAGTTGCTCAGCTACTTGGAGAAGCAGCTGCAGATCTTCTTAAAAAGAAAAAAAACAACAAGGAGGAACCCATATGGTATGCCAGACAATAGTACATCATTAGCAAAACATGTCACGTTGTTCTGAAAATAAAACCTGAACATACCAGTAAGAAATTACAACAAAAGAAAGGGAAGGTGTTTGTTTACTGTCAGGAACGAAGTGTTCGGTTTTTTTCAAGAGATGTTTGTAAAGATTTAAACATGAAACAGGCAGAATTTGATTTCAGCATCTTTTGGAAACAATGCTAGCAGGCAGACATGGTAAAAGGGAAAATACTTCTGAGTTAGGTGACATCAGATTAGAAAAATTCTTCATGCTGTAATAAAAATTCTCTCTAGTGTCCAAGTAGCAAGAATGGACTTTCTGAAAAATAATTCATAAATTATATGAACTGCAGAAAGAAATCCGTGAAATAAATAGAAAGCAATGCAGTATCAAACAAATGAATGTACTGATCATGTGAATGTGAGACCTAGACTCAACGTCTTCTCTCCTGATGTTCCCCTTTCCCTGATAGAACTTAAACACATAACCATCCCTGCTGCAGATAGTTTCTCTATTGTAGGTTGCTTGGAAAATATGACTATGCTGGCAACGTATTAAGTGAAAGCTTGCCCCATCCTGATGCTCTTCACCAAGCATCTGGTTTTGGTCACTTTTTGGGTGCAGGATCCTGGGCTAGCTAGAGTATGACTCAATCCAATCTGATACAGCCATTTTTCTCTCCATATATAATTAGCTCCAAAATGCAAAACGTCATTAGAAAGGTAAAAAAGAAAACAACAAAAAAATCCACAACCACCTTTTAAGGCTGAAAAGAAGTCTGCAACTGTTCAAATGACAGTGAAAAAATGGAGGCAGAGGAAGGGATATGCTGGACATTGTTGACAGGAGAGATGTTTGAGAGCTTTGATGTTCTTCCTCTATCTAGTAGTTTTAAAAGTGATGGTCAGTAGTCCACTGAGGCTCTGGGCTCCCTGTATTAAAGAAGGCTCAGGCTACTCTGAAGCCTCAAGGAAAACTCAAGGCACTCTGAAGTTAACCATCTGCCCTTTTGGAGGAAGAACAGCAACTGTATGGGCCAAATATTGACTGATTATGTACACAGGAAAAACTATAACTGTAAAAAGACCATGACTTGCTGATACAATAGACCTGGTGTATTGCTTCTAAGTACGGATACGCCAAAAGTCTGTACAGCAGCTATTTCACCTTAAAGTGGAATTTAGAAAGGATTTTCAGCTGTAAAGATGTAACCACGTGTTCACTCATAGTGCCTTCATTATAGGTATTACTATGTGGAAGAGCGGTCTAAAATTCAGGTCTTCCTGAAACCAGCAGTAGAACTGTGTCTTTCTGAAGGGAGAGAAGAGTGGTTCTCCAGAATCTAACCCATTATTTGGTACTCTTACCTGGTAATGTTGGTGTACTTGCAGGGGCAGCATGGATTCCTTTTCTCTGCTCACAAATCTCAAATTCTGCCTACTGCTTGTGCTCGTGGTGTTCCTTTGCATGCAGTTCACAGACAGTATCTCAGTTATTCCATCTGTAAAATGGAGATGAGAGACTCAACTTGTGAAACATTCAGAGATCAATTCATAAAAGGTTCCAAATAAGAAATAGATTTATATATTTTTTTCTAATAAATAACACTACCCTTGGGTCCATGAGAATACTGCTGCAATACAGAGCCTCTTTATCTCTAGAATGATGCAGTATAATTAGTTCTTTCACTGTTTTCTTTAATGATACTTTTGACAAACTTCAGGAGTTAAGCTTTCCTGGCCCCCTTCTATACTGAAAGCACAATGCAAAAGCCTGAATGGTTTTCTTTTCTCTTTCTACCCCTTCCCTCTGCCCTCTCTCCCCTCCTGACCTCCCATTTTGCTCAAAAAAAAAAATAAATAAATAAATAGTAGATTAGGTAAGGAAGGGTCAGATACATCTTGTGTTCCAGAAAGAGAGATATTTCTCGTCATGCTACAACCAGACTTTGCACAACACAACATTGCTGGGCAAAAGAGACAATTTTAAACTAATCATCTAAGTTTACAGTGGAAAAGTTTTCAATGGAAAGAAAATACAATTCAACAAGGAACAAGCCAGCTCATTTCTAAAGACAGAACAGAGGCAGAGTGCTGATTTTCTGTTGTATTTTAAGACATGATCTCTGCTGAATTATTTGAGGCAGCTGTAATGGTAGATGTTTAACTCATCAAAGAGCCAGGTGCTGCAATAAGCAGTAAGTTTCTAATGTCACAAATGTTCACAATCCTTTCAAGTTCAGTATCTCTGTGTAAAATCCCTGTTTCGTCATTATACAGATTTCTGGTTATCCTTTCTGTTGCACTAATGAGATTAAAACTAGGTAGGAAACTCTGGGGAAAATGACTTCCAAAGGATGCCATTTTGATGACAGGAAACTGAAGACCCTAGCACAGATCTTACTGGTTTTATCCAAGACAACCTCTGATTGGGAATTCAGAGCAGGGAATGATTGGGGAAAATGGCCTGCTGTATTCAGTGAGCTAGGCTGAGATCACTACATTGTAGTAAAGTAGAATCTTAGCATCATCCTTGTAGTCGATATCGAACAATGTTTATCCTTCAACTTGATCACAGTACTCAGCAGAACACATCCTCTCCCTCTGACCTCTCAGATAACTTCTATTTTAAAAAGATCTATGGAATATGCAATACTACCTATCTCTAAGATAGCAGTCTCTCCATCTCATATCTCTTGGGACTACATGGAAAAGCACTGTAGGAAAAATGCTGAGGAAAAACCATCAAGATAGTTTTAGATTGTCTATGAATACTTACAAATGGTCTCTACCAGAAGAAAAATACTGATTCTTAAATATATTAAAAAAAATAAAATAGAAAAGTAAGGCCCATGACAACATCCCTTGTCCTGTATGTGTAGCTTCTGTGGCACAGAGTGGACCTAGAAGTAACACTGGTGGGGACTGGCCTCAATCTTTGATGACTGTGGGAAGGGATCAAGCAGAGCTGACCCATCTGCAGGGCCATGAACCTACACGTGGGACCTCATCACAAAGGACATGGCTGGTGAGGGCTGGCTGTGTCTGGTTCTGCTTACCCTCACCAGTCCTGATTCTGACCCTGACTCACTGGCTCACATTCCTAGCTTGGCCCTGGACCAGCCTTGTCATTACACAGTGCCCTGTGCCCTAGACCGGGGTGCACTCTGGCCTATCCTGCTCTCTGGCAAGGAACAGTAGGATGGGCCCTGGCCAAAGGGATCCAGTCCTGCTGCCACTCCTGGCATCCCTGCCTTCAGGAAGAAGAACAGCATTGTTGTTCTGCAACAATGAATTGCAGATATTTCACCTTGCTTTGGAAAGAGGACGAAGGCAGTAAAAAAACAAAAACAAAAAACAAAACAAAACAAAAAAACCCAACCCCATAAACACAACTAACATTTTTCTATGGGACAATCTTGTTTTGATCAGATTGATATCTCTGGATCTTTTCTTTTTGACAAAATTATCACAATTATTTATATTTATATTTAATTTATACTTAAAAACAACCCCTAGTAACTACTTTCAGATCACAATTCCACAAATACGAGTTCATTCCCATCTATTTCAGTAACTAGGATGCCTCTTTCTGCATCACAAAGATACATCAGTAGCTTTTCACTTAATACTTAAGTATTATATGTCTGAATTACACAACTAAAGAACAGCTGACAATATTCAACAGGTACAAGATAAAAGACAGTGCAAGCCTTGCTGGAAAACACAAGACATAGCAGAGTCCACAGACAAGCTAAAGGGAAAATCTATGGTGTTCTAAAGAAATGCCCAAATACAAAAATCCATTATTCTTTTAACTTTAGTTGGGCAAACTGGAATATATTGGAAACGTTGACCAACTCTTAAACACTGCTCTACTCATAACTATGAAATGAAAAAAACAACTACCTCTTTATAAAATGATTAAGGTCATTCTTTGTTGCAATAGTAGATGCCAAAGAAAAACAGTCAGAAAGGTTGACTTCCAGAAACACTTGCAAAAAGATATCATATTTAGAAGCTGGTCTCTGTTAAAAAGTTGGAAATAAAAGTACTGTTTTGAACTGAGTGCAGCTTTTCTCAAACTTTTGACAGATGTGACTGGCTTATTGCTGCAAGACAACTATTATTTAGAGGCTTAATAAAGGAGACATTATCTAACATATTCTACAGTTGAGTTTCACAACAAACAGAAGCAGATATAGACAGGTCTCTAAATGAGAAACACTGCATTCAGTGTGCCTTAGATCAGACGTTGTGTGGTAAGAGCCCCCAGGGAACGGGCTGAATATCTATCTGTGTGGAAGACTGCCTGTGTGTCCCACCACAACTGAAGCAGAAATGTAGATGCGCAGTTCTTTTGCCTGTGGAGGGAATTACTGCCGGAGACTGATGTTAGTTAACACAGGGTCCCTGACTTGTCCTGATGTAGCAAACGGAGAGCTTTGCTGGCACACTGGCCTTCTTCCTCTGTGATGATTCAGATTCACATCCTCACACTGGTAGGCAAACCTCCCATGCTTCTGTTGTGAGTTTAGAGATCCACCAGATTATTTTGAATTAGTAAAATTTTTCTTCTTGCAATTTAAACATGTTTGTTCACTTTTCCCTCTGGGGAAGTTCAATGTGAAATAGAACATGTTCTTTTTCTAGCTAAACAAAAACATACTCCTGGTAGCACTGAATGACTAACATACCTAAAAGATAAGCAGGTACAAATGGTCTTTTTGGGCACACAGTCTGTGCACACACACACTGACACACTTTCAGGCCTCCTCAGGTTTGGACACAGGTATAGAGAGGACAGAAGAGAGGCAAGAGGAGAGGGAATGAGAATTAGGATAGCTGTTAGGTTATCGTGTGAACATTAAGTTGGAGAGCTATATGGGGTATTTACATTGGGGAATCACCATTTCCCCAGCCTGCTCCATCCTCCTCCCTTCTATCACTGAGTTTGGTTCTCTTCTCTTGCTCAACATACTTAATTTGTCATCATATTTCTCATTGTATCCCATGTCTATCTAGATGATCTTACAGCACTTGATATGAGGTAAGAGCTGCACGAAAATCTCTCCATTGTTTATATTTCATATTGCATGCAGGTAGTATCTATTGATATTTGAACACATTGAAAGGAAAGCAATGCTGGTGGCACACCCCATGGTTTGGCTGGTTTCAGTGCATACAAAACATTTCACTACATTTATCCTCTATTTCTGTTTCTCCAATGAGAAACGTGAACCCATAAATTTTAACAACTTATCAGAAAGGATCATTCTGGACATCCCATAACACACCTACACTGTGGGAATACTCCACGGGGAGGCTGGAATGCTGGAAGAGCCCTGACAGTGACTGACAAATTTCTACAGCTGTGATCAGTAAAAGAAAGCTAAATGCACTTCTGCCCTGTTTATTCAGAGGTACCTCATCACAGAGCAAGGGAACAATTACCTAAATTCTTCTAGGCACAGGCTTGGAAATTTCTGTTCAGTTCCAAACACCAAAGACTTCAGAGATGCAAGAAATGGCTGCATTTCTGAGAGCAATACTCAGAGGAAAATAAGTGCGATCACATATAAGCTGCTAAAAGAATGAGGTGAACCACAGTTCATTATATAATCTACAAGTGGATTAAATTTAAACACCAAAGAGTGAGACAAGAATATTAATATAATATGTGAGATAGAAATAGGAGAACAGGAAAGAGGTATTAGGAGAAAACTTAGACTGGCATTAGGGAAAAACAACAGAGAGAGCTCATCCTCAGGAAGTCAACAATTAGACTGGCAAATACAGTAGAGTAAACCTTGTCATTTGGGAGACTTAGAATGGGATGAGGAAAGGAGCTAGCAGCACCTAGTAGGGAAAATTCTTCCTTCGCTGGGAGATGGAATGAATCATTCACTAGGACTTCCATCCAGGCTATTTTTTTAACTAGCAAAGTGCCAGCAAATCTACAATGGAAAGCAGAGGCCAATGCTTTATTTTCAGCAGAAATAAAAGACATTAGGCCCATAAGCCAGGGGTTGACAGCAGTGACCTTTGTGGTACCAATGGTAGTGAATTCAGTCTTTGGTAATTTGGTGAAATACTTGATGTTACTGCAAAGGATATTCCAATGGCACATTTTACTGATCTTATTGCTAGCCTGAAAAATTTCACATTCTATAAGCCTTTGTAAACTAGTACTTTCATTGCAAACTATTGTCAGAAGAGCAGAATATTCTCAGAATTTGAGCATGATTTAGGCTGGAAACGACCTCTGGAGGTCATCTAATCCAAGTCCCCGCTAAAGCACATCGGCCTTTGAAGTTAGAGCAGGTTCCTCAGAATATCCAGCCAAATCTAGAATACTTCCAAGGATGGAGATTTTAATACTTCTTTGGGCAACTTGCTCCAGTGTTTGATCTTCACTGCGCATTTTTTCTCAGGCATTTAATCATATTTTCTGTTGCTATCCCTATTCTCTTATGCCACTAAGCTGCCCCTTGAAATAACAACAGAACTTCAGGAATTACAAAGTAAATTACAAAATAACTACAAAGTAAAATTCACAATACCGTAATGACAGACTAAGAAGGCATGCTTTAATATCAACAAATCTTTATGTGAATTTGCTTTCTCCCAAGGTCTTTTAAAAATTCTAAGAGTGGAAATTAAAATGAAAAAAACATTTTTCTAGAATGACATCCACTTTCTGTCTGACAATACATCTGTTACCATGCATGATACCTATCTCTCAACGGCTTCTCTGACACCAAGCACACAACAGTGAATTAAAAACCTAAAATAATAAAGCAATGATCAGATCTTTGAACATTACTCATTTAGTAATGCATACATTAAGTGAACACAAACGAAGACAAAACTGTGTATTTCATGTTATTGAGAAGGCAGGCCATGTGGTGACATGCAGGCAACAGCATACATCACTGTTCAAGCTACATTGACAGCAATTAAAAAAAACTGAGATGAGACAAAGTGTGCACTAAAGAGTGGTAATGATTATGAAATTTTCTACTGAGACAAGTCCTATTTCTTGGCACTGTAGCCTTGGTTAAATTGGTCTGTGGACAACCTAAACAATGAGAAGCACCCAGACGAATGTCAATATTTGAAGTGAGGGAGCAACAGGCATTTTGGACAGCAGGCACATTTTCTTTGGATCACCCACCTTTTCAGCTTAATATTGTCCTGGAAGAAATTTCAGCAATGTATGTTTTAAGTGAGTGTGTACGTGTCAGGATAGCAGCACACGTCTGATGGAAGGACCATCCAGAAGTTTAGAACAACTCCTGTATCTTTTCTATAGCCTGAAAACAGAGATATCCTAAAAAACAAGCTCTTCTTTTGTTTATTTTTCTGTGCTCCTTTCATGGTTGCCCCGCCAAGTTTGTATGGAAATACAACGTTGATTCTTGCTAAACTCTCCCATCAGATTTCTCTGTGAACCATAATACAGAAGGCTTTGAAAGCCTAGATGCAGCCTGACTCTGGTTACAAATACATTACATTTTAAGTTTTCCTCCAGCACCCACATCCATGCTGCAAGCCTTTTCATGGAAAGAGCTCATGTATTACTGCTCCCTTTTTCTTCACTTCAGTTTGAAGAGAGACAATTGAGACAATTCACTGAGAGAGATCGTCTCGGTGGCCCTTACAAGGATGCTCAGGGAACAGTCATGGGGTAAATATAGAAATCACACTGGAGAAGTCTTTCATTTTAATAAGGACTAAGGGAGCATTCATATAAATCTCTGTACTGACTTTCTCCAGACACTGAAAGGAACCAAAAATAGATGCCTTCAGTGACTGAATTCAGTCTCTGTTATTATCAGTCTGGGGATTAAATAAAACTTTCACTGCCTAATGACTCTGCATGTAGTCAAGCATGAGCATTGCGCTATATAGAATTCCTCATATAGTCTTCTGCTGGTTCTTATTATCATCTCATCTATCAGCTTGAACACCTGCTGGTTGGGGAAACAACTGCCAGTTCTGACATCTGAATACAATCTGGAAAATTATAACCATGCATCACTCAAAACATCCTTTTCAAAGACGCAGTCCAAGCATCATAATTTCCTTGGTTAGTTGCCTGTTGGTGTCCTTTTTACTAATATTTTGAAGATAAGTAGAAGAAGCTTCCAGATGCACAGCCATATATTGTAACTATCAGATCATAAAGAAAACCATTACAATTAAAAGACAAATTATCTTTTTTTTTGGAAGCTCTTCTAGGATTAAAGAGGAAAGACTGAGAAAGTCTTGCTTTATTGCAGAGTATGTCCATGTGTTGGTTAGAATAAGATAGAAAAACATCCTGAGTGCTTTTGTATTAAGCATCAAATTAACGTCTTGAATGAAAAGTCACATACAGTACACTTTTACACACACAAAAAGTCTGCTCTGGTTTGCGTGGAAATAAGAGAAAATACTTAAGTTTTTGTTTGTAGCTTAAAAAAAAAAAAAGATGAGGAAGAAGAAATTTTAAGGTCTGTTTTTCTATTTTATTTTTCTTGCTTTTGAAGACCACCTGCAGGTGTTTTGGTAAGCGCCTGAATTAAGACAGTGCAGGTATGTAATTCATATTGACAGCTGGAGCTGGCAGCATGATTTTCTGAGTGGGGATAGTAAGAAATGCTTGGGCAGCCTGTTTAAATGTGGCTCATACTCCTCCATCATGTGACACAGCAACAGAGTGGAATGGCTTTGTCTTTCAGCCCAACAGAGCAGTACTTTTGCCTGTAAATTTTCCTACCCTGTCTGAAAGTTTTTTCAGTGCCCCAAAGTCTACTGCGTCTCTACTAATTAAATTATAAGGAAGACAGCTTTGTACAATGACAAGAGGGATAACGTTTAAGAGGATCAAAGTTTTAGGGCAGCAAGATAGACTTGTCTTAGTTGTAAACACGGAAGGAAAAAGCTCATGTTCTCAGTCTTGCCTGTTCTTATAACATAGGCAAGTTTTTGTAAACAGAGAAATCATCCACCATGATTGAAGTTTTGATGTATTTTCATGCTTGTTTTAAGACCTCATTGCTTTTAGTTGTTGCAGTTCTGCCCAACTTGTTAAATTTAGACTTAAACAACATTGCTGAAGCATTTGTCAAATCTTGCATTGCAGCAAAGTGAACTTGAATGAATGAAGACCAGGAGGAAGGCTATAAATGGTTCCAATTTGGGGTCTCGAGTCCCAAAGTCACTACTGAATATACACTACTCATTGAGCATTACAGCAACCTACACAGATGGAGATCCTTCTTTTTCATTAGCACCTGTATCACAGAAATGTACCTAAATGAGGAGTCTGCTCTCCTTTAGTTCTCTTGGAAGAGAAGTTTGAAAGCTCATATGAGAAACTCCTAAGCTTTGGTACTGTTGGTCACCACAAGCATAAAATACAAAGATGCAATGCAGAAGAAGATAAACATATGAGGTCTGGTTCATTGGGTCCCTGGTATGTAGTTTCGTACTCTGGTAATACTGGCATTGAGTTAATCTACCTTACATGATTAATAACCAAAATAGCAACCCAACAACCTTGCCTAGTGACTAGTCTTAAATTTTCTGCTGCCTGGACAAACTGAACATTGATGTTATTCTTCTGAAATTAATGACACCTCTTATTTGGGGCGGCTGCTGGCCCAGTGATTTAGCTGGATTTGATCTGAAATGTCTGTGAAAATGAAATTCTCAGAAAGCATTTATTTTAAGATAGACATCATTATGCCACCTAGTAAAACTGAAAAAAAAAAAAAAAAATAGCATCCACGCAGCTCTGCAATAAATAACAAATCAATCTTCTTTTCAAACCTTCTAATTGTACAAAAAGACTCCAGCCAGACAAGCCAGGAAATACTTGACCGAAAAAATATATCTTGCACTGAAGTCTGGGAGCCTCTTTCCAAGTAGAATCAGTTCCACTACTTCAACTTTTCAGCTACTCAGGAGTGAATATTTAAGCTAAATCATCAAGAGTGAGCAAAGTCAATTTAACATCTACTGTAATAAGTAATAATCATCAACTGCTATGAACAATTCAATTCAGAAGGTTTCCATGTGATCTATGATATCTCCCAGCTACCCCTTACACTGAATCCTCTCCAGCACTTAATGGAAGAATGTTTTCTCACATCCACATTGAATAAAATTCTCTACAATTAAAAGAAAAAAAGAAAAAACTTCTGAAAATATTCTGCCAGAAGGATGTTTCTTTACATAAACCATAGATTTCACAAAAGCTAAGTCCAGAGCAATAACTTCCCACCTCTCTTTACCCAAAGTGTTGTAAATTTTCTGTTCTTTCACTGAGACAAGAAGGACACAGGTTTATCCTGTTTTTCAAACACTGCATAAAAAGAAAATCCAGAACAGGTTAAATGTTGGTTCTCAAACAGAAGAGAAACAAGATAATAAAATACCTCAGACTAAACATTTACACAGTGTCTGCTTGGGCTGGAGTCTATGGGCATTTGAGTTCTTCGGATTTCTGATGGAGTCTTAAGCTATAGCAAAGTGTTTGGCTGAACTGCCAACAGCACCAACTTACCCAAGGAGGCTGCAGGCATCTTTCCATCATTTCGAGATTCAGATTGTCTGAACAAACAGAAAAAAAATGTGAAAAAGAAGCTGAAGAATGTCAATGAAGCAGAGAAAGAACTAAGTTGGCCTTGTGCTAGCTGGACACCAACACAGCATATTTCCCGTCACACCTGCTACACTGACCAAGCAACATGCTTTTCCCGTGAAATGCATGTTCATCTGCTAAATAATTTGGTTTGAGATATATGATTTTGGAGGTTATTATGGCTATCAAAGGGGTCCAATATGTGTCAAGTAGCTACATTGCTTCCTCACATTTTAGCTGGACTAAAAGCAAAATAACTTTAACAGGATGGAGTATCCATCTGGATTTCAGGCTACAAAGTAAGCCAGCTTTTTCAGGATAGTTAAAGAAAATCAGGAACTTAAAAAGCCATAAAATTGTTTTGCTTACTGAAAACTAGTTCCAGACTTCCATCAATGTATGCAAAATCAGTTTTTGTTGTCCTAAAGCTTGGGGGGCAAAGAGAAGGAGAAACAAAGCAATAAATTCCCATTACGTCCTCGACCCAGATGTGGCAAAATTAACTTTTCAGTAAACCAATTCCCCTTCATAACCTTCCTCCCCAGCCAGCTTTGGAGGCACTCCTTCCATTTCCAGGGCCATAACCAGCCCAGGAGGCAGCAGAGGAGAAAGATCAACCGCAGAAATTGCTTATATTTCCCCCAGAGGGTGCCAAGTGGTCTCCTCCAACAGTAGAAGTAGGTGGGGTGTGGAGGTGGGAGACAGGCTCCTCTGCTTGGTCCTGCCCATCCACACCTGGGGCCATGCCTCCACTCAGGCTTTGTGCCCTGAGCTGTTCAGAGGCAGCAGCGCTCATCACCTGCATTGCAACAGACTAAATAGCTATGCTTCTCAGTTTAGCATACAATAACTATCTGCTCTATTTGAAGTAGATGTATATGCAAGAGTGAGTGGCAATTCAACTCATGATTATAAAATGATGGTAAATATGCTGGCAGAAACAAACAAACAAACAACAAGCAAACAAAAAAAAGCAGAATAGGAGTTAACTGCAAAAAGCAAATGCATATAGTCTCATCTCCAACATTTTTAAAAGTTCAGGCACTACTGAGATCACTTTTCTTCCACATCCCTTAAACAGAATCAGATCGTGTCAAGCACTGGCACCTGCAAGACTCTAGATCACCTACCAGAAAACACTACACATTTTACAGCTTGAAAATGCTCAAAAGAGCACGCTGTAACATTACGCAGGAAGAAGGATTCTCAAAAAGCATACTGTAAGTGTCATCATAATACTCAATAAATATCTTGCACTAAAGAATTACCTTTCATAAATCTGTTGGAAATTACAAGAGCAGAGGAAATATCCACCTCTTGCACAAGACCATCTTCATCTTCAGCCCTATCCAAATCCATTTTGAAATGTTACTCTTTGCTATTTTATAGCTGCTGTGTTTCACCTCAGAATGGGCTGCATTTCAGTTGTTTCTGATCATCACATCTCATTTATCAGTTTCTGAAGCACCATGAGAAGAAAGGTGTTATATATTAATAACTACTGTCATTTCTGGTTAACAGAGCTTTCATGATATTTGAAACAGAATCCACTATAAAGAAGACTAGAAAATTTAAAAGCAGTATTAAATTCATTCACTATTTTTCTCCACACTGAATAGAATGAAAACATTCATTTCATGAGAATGTTTGCTGTGTCTGTACAAGAGATGAGCAGTTGCAGCTAAGAAAGGTGTTGGCTACTGAAGAACAAGTCAGATCTTTAAAACATGACACCACTGCTGGACTTTTGCCTTAACTGTTTGAATCTTCAGCTGCACCAGCAATTCAAATGCATGCAATATGTAACCACAAAAGAGCAATGTCAAAGAAGTCAAAGCATAAGAAAAATTACTCAAATTCAGTACAGAAAAGCTGAAAAGGTTTGGCAAAAAGCAAGCACTTTCCACATGTCTCTGCAGTTCAAATGTTCATCCTGTATTCTGCTTCCTTCAGACTGTAGCAAAGACAATTTTCAGAATTCGGCAGTATTGCCCTGAAGAGGTACCTCGAGAAAGCTTAGATAGCACACAGATTGGTGAATTCTTGATAAATTCCGAACTAGTGCCACTGGACAGCTGCCCTCTTTACTCTAGGAACAATAATTCCCTTTGCACCTCCAACTAAGTACACCTGACACTTTAAACTCCCACCTGCTTTGCATCCCATTGGGTGTTAAAAGCAACAGTACTTTCAGACTAAAACCATGGCCGCTCCAGCTATCCAGTTGACAGATCCCTTTGTCACTGGCAATGAAAGTACTTCAACAATCTGAAAGCCTATGCTTTGTTAGCTAGTCCTAAGGAGGTAAATGAAGTCAACTCAAAACCCTTACTAAATTATTAGGTAAGCCGGTGCTTATGCTAGCTTGAATCTAGCACCCCATTAAGCCTCCAAACCATCAGTAAAAGACTCTTCATCTTATTGGAAACATACAGACTTTTGCTCTATGGCTGGCTACCTGCAGCACACAATCAGCTGGCAGTAACAGCAAATGACAGCAGCATGAACGAATAGGAGCTGTGCTAACAGATGCCACTGGCTTCTTAATCAGCAGTTACGCTGGTGTGATTTTGATGCTAACTGCTTCATAGAATCATGGAATCATAGAACGGCTTGGGTTGGAAGGAACCCCAAAGATCATCAAGCTCCTACCACCCTGCCACATGCAGGGCCACCAACCTCCACATCTGGTTCTAGACCAGGCTGCCCAGGGCCCCATCCAACCTGGCCTTGAACACCTCCAGGGATGAGCATCCACAGTCTCTCTGGGCAGCCTGTTCCAGCACCTCACCATTCCCTCTGTGAAGAAATTCCCTCTGACATCCAATCTAAACCTTCCCTCCTGCTTCCTCCTTCTCATGAGCCTTTAAATCTAAACTTCAGAATAAGCTGACAAATTTTGGTTGGTAGTCTAATTTTTTCCTCATAGATGTTTTGTGTCTCTTGGGAAACAGGAATAAGTACCTTAGTAAACAGTGACCTTGAGGTTTTGGAGAAATTATTAAGTTTTACAAACCAATAAGGAAATACCATCAGTCCTAGCACATTCTACAGAATGTAACAGGAGGCTTTCAAACAAACTGCATGTGAACTCAAAATGTCAAGACCATTTCTTTTGGAAACTGGATACCTTTCTGAATCTGTCCAAACTTTCTGACCTGCAAAAAAAGTAAAAGCCCAACATAGCCAACACACTCCATGTTCAGAAGTTCTGCATCCAGAACTCAGAATCTGTGAGGACATCGATTTTCTAGTCTGGAGTATCAGTCTCCCTGTCTGTACAAATTACATCGATGAACAAGTCTTAAAACTTCTTCCTACCTGAACAACAAGTGTTCTCATTATATGTTTTCTGAACAACATGGGTAAGCTTTTCTTTAGGAGTAAATTCACTCACATGAGCCTCACCATTTTTGTCAGAAAGTCCAGTTTTCACCTCACAGCTGACATCCTCGAGCTCCACTCTCTCTATTGCTCTGTTTTTTTAGGCAGGAAAATTTGAAATGAAAAGAGACACAACTGTGAAAAGGACATTCATGTGGCCAGCATTGTAATTTCAGAGACCAGGGTAAATAAGACCACTTTGTCATATACACAAAGATGTCAAGCCATCCCTTCAACTGGAAACATCTGGAACTTAATTATATTTTCTTGAAAGCCCAGAAAATGACAAAACTTGATTCTTTCACCAGGTTTTGTAAAGAAATAAGACTTATACAGAAATGTTGTCTCTGAGTTTGTCTGCCCAGCTGAATCACTTGAATACTGTGATCAATTGCAATCATGTTTGAAAGAGAGGAAGACAATGCAGCTATTAAAACTGATGTCAAACACTGATGAGTAAAAGAGAAAGTTTGAGGGAATGCAGAACTCAGCCCTTGTAAATATAATTTGCAGCAACCATGCAAAAGAATATATGCGCATGTGTAGCCCTAGAGTGCTCACAGCACCGAGCTCTCATTCCAGTGAAAATATCAGAAATAATACGGGCAGAGCTGAGGTTAATTGTCAGGAATTTTACATGATGAAGAATCCAAAGGCATTGAAATGCTGTTCATGAAACAGCTGTTCGTTATGAGGTCCTTACTAAGAAAGTAGCTCACAGATGTAAGATCAGCAGCTGCACGTGGCCTAAGATACTTTTCTCTTACTGAAGTGCCAGGCACTTTGGTTTTGATTTTGGATCATTAAGAAGGACACCACATTGCTTTGGATCAGAGAAATACATGTGAGAATCAATGCACATAGCCCTCTGCCAAAACACCTGCCGTTTTACCACTCCTCCTGCTGGTTTTAGTACTTCTGTTTGCTGACGAAAGAACAGCAGGGCTTAAATTCTACGTAAATGCTATTTGCAAATGTGCATGCATCTTTATGAATGAGACACGACGATCTGTTAACAAAGAAAGTGCAGCCATATGCATGTGGTGACAGTGTGTGATATAGCCCACAAGTCTGCACTGATGTGACTTCATCAGGTCCTCTGCTGTCCTCTGTTCATTCACAATCTTCAAGCAGCTTTCAAAGACCTCAGTTCAAAAGTAACTTAAATGCAATTTGATATGAAATTATGCCTCTTTTTTCTCCTCCTTTGTCTTCGTGAGAAAGAAACACACTTTTCCAAGAAGAAAAAAAATAGTAACTCCTAGATATCTGGTAAGTTAAACATCCATTACTAGGCAGCCATTAATTTCCTACTCAAAATAAATTCATGTACTAAAAATTCCTGGCAAGTGGGCCCAAAATGAACTGGACACTTCTAAATTATTATGAAAAGCAAATCACAATTTCCTTTAAAATTCAGATTGCAGGAAGATTTTTTCTAGAATATGACTGGTTGTACTTAAGCTTATGGGCTGTGTCTTGTGCTTTCTTATCTGTGTGACTGTTTATTAGTGCAAATATGCCTGATAGGCTCATTGTGCCCTCAAGCCTTCTCAAAAAGGAAAATTTCCATCTGCTGACTTCTCTACTTCCAGTAA